TCGGAATATCTGCACATATTTATATACTTCTCGACAAATGCTCGTTTAAAGTAATAAAATTCAAGACTATATAATGAAGATAAAAGATAAGATGGAGTCCATTGAATCGCTCAACTACGTCAATTTATCATAGCGTTACCAGATATCTTTCAGTGAATTTTGCAGAAACATCAAAGTTTTATCGGTACTCTTTGTCAATGCAAATTTGATGGAAGTATCAAACCTAATAGAAGACAAAAACTATACTGTTCACATCAACAGCAAGCAATAATTGATGGAACTAATATAAATGAGAAACGGGATAATAAATTTACGATCGCTTCAGTACTTTAATTTATTGCGATAGAAGGTCTAAAATTTAAACTTCACAGTCCTAACAATCTTTCAGGACAGATGGCTCGCGGCTCTATATTCAGATATCCAATAAAGAGAAGCTACATTTTTATGGGCTATTCAAAGGGTCGCCCACTTTGAATACCTCAACTTGGGCTTAATCTTTTGCCGAGTATTGTAATGACGTTGAAACTTTTCTTAACCTTTATTAACCTGAGCTCTTACTTGAGTTATTGTATATCGTTACCGTATCCACGTTACAACGTTTTAACAGTTTCAAATATTTAAACGTCTTTGTCTGAGATTTGTGAGTGTGATTACAATGACAATCTCAATAGTGTCGAATAACAATTGCCTAGCTAGTATGTCTGAATATTCTCCTTAGTAGCATATTCTTGATAACAAGCACTATAATACTGCTTCCACTACCACCTCATTAATAACGAAGCAGCGTAGGGACCTCGGATAACGTTACCAGCTCCACAGGGAATTTATCTTAATTGCTTTCTAAATGTCAATATTGCTGATAATAATTTTATGTGATCTTTGGGTATTATATATTTAAAATTAATTATAAACAAGTTTATTAGTTTAAAATACAAGTTAATTATTAATAACTATTGAGCTAAATGATTTTTTTTTATTTATTAAAATAAAACATAACGTATTTTTTGCTGATGAAGTGAAAAAGCAAAAATTAGCATGAAAAAATATTACCATCGATATTTATGAATATAGTAACAACGAAAAGTCAAGTGAAGTGAATATTTGGAAGGAAGAGTAAATAATATATTGCAAAAGATTATTAGATCATTTGAAAGTTCTAAAGCGCATCTACTTACTTTCTTATTCTATTTTTATTGAAAAAATAAATAATAAAAAAAATATATATATCGTTTAGAACATTTTAAGAAAACAAAGACGTTTAAAATTACATTTCAATTAACCAGAAAACTGCATAACTTAGTTTTTATCAAATATTTTGATGTTCTTACATATATATGTGACGTATTGTGATATATGTACGTGCGTGATACAACGGTTTTTTGTAGAATGTTTCAAAAAGATTACAATTTTATTAAAGGAAAACTTCGACTCTAATTACAAAATTGATCACAAATTATTTATGGGCAAGCTAATTGAGGCAATTATTAAGCTGTATTTAGTCATATATACAGCTAACACACTAAATAAAAAATGTATTGACGTCCAAGCGGTCAAGGAAATAATTAACATACTGAAAAAATATTATTCTTAGAATTCCAGGGTGTCATCATTATATTCTGTTTGATTCTTCTACCTGATAATTTCCCAGCTTTAGTCAGGGTTTGCCTTACATGTTGTGAATAGTTTTTGCTAATTGTTTTTACTACCGGCCGCCTGCCTGACATCAACCCTCTTCGGGAGTGCATTAATCAGTGATGTCTAAATACTCTTCGAAAGTACATATGACTCGGAAAAATCACATATGTACTTGCCAGGATCGAATCCGCGCTCTCATGCATGAGAGGCAGGCCTTTAAACCACTAGGCCACCACACTCTAAATTAGTCTGTTTGATGTTTCTTACATATATATCCAACAGTGAAACTGAATAAAATTGTAGTTTTTTGTTACAAAGCCTTATGCCATACCATTTAGATTGAGGCGTAAAATTATGAATTAAATATTTTTATACATATAATTATGAATTATATACCAAATGGCCGACGATTAGCGATATTGCAATATTAATTTTAATTGCTCATCAATATGATGTATATTTAAGATTAACTTTTACTAATATCAAGTGTTAAATGTCACATGCTTTCCAAATATAACACAGATCGAAGTAAGAGAATTTCGATAACAATGAAATATGGAGGCTGTTATTGTTTCGCGAACTTTCCCGTCGTGCTCTGAGTTATCGGTCGCGTATTTCATTTTATTTAATAAGTTTATTTTGTGAAATGTGAACATTTGTTCGTAACTTTTATTGTAATAACAAACTTTTGTTTATTGATAATAAAAAGACCATTATTAAAACTTCATATATTAGTTGCATATTATTGTTTGTATTCAACATTTACAAGTATTTTATGTTTGAAAAGTATGACCAGAAAAATGAGGCTCCGTCATTTTATCATGCTTTTTTGTCTTTCGTAGTTTCTAGAATAACATGGCTTGTATGTCTCTTAGAATTCATCGGTTATAGAAGAAACTATAATAGATAAAAATAAAGCTTGGGTACATATATAATATAATAAAGGTTTAAAATTTGGTTGACGTTGAAAATCCTTTTATAAATTTTCTGTTATAGTGAAAACACCATTACCTGATAGAGAAACTTACTTTAAAAACCCGTTGAGAATGCCATCTATGCCGAAAATTTCAGCCTTCGGCATCCAAATCTCGTGGGACACCGTCATATACACGATATTCAATAAAGTGAACTAACACGTTTAGCTGTCGGGTCGGACCTTTCACAGCAAAATCCCTCGCGTATTACGATGTAACTATCCTGACTTCAATGATATGAAATCAAGAAATCGCCGGGATATTTAAATGAAATTCTATTATATCAAATCATATTCAGCTGGCGGTCATGGTATTATTTGCTGATTATACATATGTATATATATCAAAATTATATCAACCCCTCCTTTTTCGTGTATCGTATATTAGTGAAAAAACTCATAAGCAATGAAATAGGAGTTTTTATGGAGAGTTTATCTAAGATACGACGTGTATTTAAATTAAAAATACAACAAAATGCAATACAGAAGACTTTTTAAGAAGCACATAACATTTGTTTAAACTAAGCATTTTTTCGTATCGAGAAGCCAAAGAAAATGCAAGGGCGGTTGCCTTTTGTTTTCATCAACCACGATTTATTTTATAACTCTCAGTAGGGGAAAAATTTCAATTACAGAAAGAGACGAAAGCTCTTAGCATTCAATGGATTCCCCGTGCGGGTGCCGGGTCCATCGAAGTGCAGTAACAGGAGTGCCTGGGACTTGCGACCAAGGTGTAGCTTTAAGGGGCCCCTATCTAACGCGCGTTATAAAAGGTAAAATTTTAAGATTTTTTGTTTCTTTCTCCAATGTTGGAATTTTGTTATAATATTTTATTAATATAAATACATAAGTTCTTTCAAAATTGTATTTTCAAATTGAGAATGAAATTAAAAAGACTGTTAAGCGTTCCTTATATAAAACTTAAAGTCATTTATATAAAAACTAGGAATGCAGTATTTACTATAACATTAATTTATAAATATCCATATTTATAAAAATGGTTTTTCATTTCAAAGTTTGTTATATTTTCTTTAAGACTTTTTTTTATCTACTTCTTACTAGTGCGTTATTAAGTTTTTCATTTGTCTGGGTCCATATTTGCACAGTAATAATAAATGAACGGTGCGTAAATAAGTGCAGTTTAAATGCTTTGGAAATCTATGAGTATGTGTTTGATAAATGGTTCGAACAAAATAAAAAAAACGTAGATGGCTATCTTCCATTTCCTACACAAATGAAACTAAATTATTTTGACAATTATATAAATCAACAACGTTTGTTCATTTGATAGACAGGAAACATAAAAGCTTGATGGCTCTAAAAAGCTATACGTTATTTAATTAAGACTTTCAGTCACTTTTCGTTTATTGCATCAAAACATTTTCTCACAAAAATTCATTTCGTTTTCGTTGGCGTATTCTAATTAAATGTTTACCCTTTCTGTACGATGGTCGATGGCGTTGATTAATCTATAAAGATGGGTAATTCATTATCTTTTTTATAATTATTTTAAACGTTTTTCCTTATCTTGGTTTTTTGCACTCGTATTTAAACGATTATATTTTTATAACATTTCTAGCATTGTCGGCTTAAAATAATGTTTTAGTTTCGATGATTTGATATTTTGCCAGTGAAGATATGGATGGCATATTAAAGGCATGAAGGATGATAAAATGTTGTGATATTTCTAGAGGTGGTAGAGCCTAGCTGTGGTCAAGTTACATCTTGAACATGGGCTACCACCCTCTCACAGAAAATCGGCGTGAAGTAGTCTTTAAAGGCTGCGTTTCGTCATGTGAGTGAGAGAGCCGGTTGCCCTTTCCCTTTTCCCAACCTTTCCTTTCCCTCCCTTTCTCACCTTTTCCTCCTCCTTTTCCCCAATGAAGGGCGGCAACACATCCGCAAATCTACTTTGCGTATGTCCATGGGCGACGGTAACTACCTACCATCAAGTAGGCCGTCTGCTCGGTTGCCCCTTTTTCCTATAAAAAAAATATATTAGTTGCAATTACAGCACTGGTTACTAATTAAATTTACCAAATTTTAAATTTTCACAACTGTTTTAAAAAATATCATGAAAATTAGATTGTTTTTTTTATATATATATTTTATTATGTTCAGAACCAGTCAATTGTATTGTTAGATTAATACGAGTAGTATACCCTTCTATAACTTTGTCTTTATTTAAAGTACATAATAAATATATATATATATTACATAAAATATATTTATAATATATTTTAGTTGTAGTCTATCTCAAATTACGTTTAATATCGTTATTAACATCTTAGTAGACAAATTAATCTGTAACGAGAAAATATGGGGTTATCGGTTTAAGTTTAATAATAAATACACGGAATCCATTTTAGCCTTCGCTGACGATCTCGCAATACTGACACGTAACCCCAAACACTGTCAAGTGCTATTGGATGAAGTGGATAAATTCTGTGAGTGGACGGATGGATTGAGGACAAAACCCAGTAAATGTCATTGTCTGTGTCTTGGTAGGCGGAATACAAGATACACCTCATACGATCCGGGACTATCGTTAGGCGGTCAATGCATTTCTACGGTTACGGAAAATGCACCATTTAAATTTCTCGGTCGTAAGATTGATAATATAGGCCGTACTCCATCTTTAGAAGGAATAGTAGATAGCTTTTTGAACGATCTTAACAAGGTAGATAGCCAACTGATAAGTAACGTCAAAAAAGCATGGATCTACGAGAATTACTTAACTTCACGTTTGAATTGGCCTTTCCTCGTCTATGATTTTAATAAAACTCTTTTGTCAAAGTTAGATGCAGGCGTCATAAAGATGTTGAAGTTGTGGCTCGGGCTCGCTCTAACGGCTGATTCATCGGCGTTATTTAGGGGAAGCAATAGTTTTGGGATGAGTCTAAAAAGGCCATCGGAGCTCTATAAACACCTCAGAGTTTCCAAGAGATATATCCTGGGGAAATCCCATTATGACATAGTGACTTCGCTCCCAAAAGATGAAGATGCCCCTGAGCTAGAGTCACGACTTCAATTCCATAAGCAATTTATGATAGGAGCACAAAGTAACAGAGCGGGGTTAGGATCAAATAGGAAAGTCCAAGATGCGGATATATTGAAGTCTTTTATTCGGCAAGACGAGAATGATAAATATAAGATCCATGCAATGAATTTAGAAATGCAGAACGAGTGGTTAGACATAGGAGATTTTTGCATCCCATTAGCATTAAAATGGCGCACTTTAATTTATGATTGGTCGCCAGCATTGCTAAAATTCTATCTCAATGCGTTCCAGATGACTCTCCTAGATCAGAGTAATTTAGTAAGATGGCGTGAAAGTACCGAAAAAACTTGCTATATCTGTGGATAGGCAGTTGGAACTGCTAAGCATCTGCTGGTGGGATGTAAGGTACTCCTGGACAGCGGTCAATACTCGCGTCGTCACGATAGGGTTCTAGAAGTCATACGTGTAGCGGTTAGTGTTTCGGTAGCCAGAGCGCAAAAGGAAATAACCACAAACGAACGATCAGTAGGTTTTGTGAGAGAAGGCACTAGGGCTACAAAATCAAACGTCAAGCCTTACTCCATCCATAAAGCGGCGTCGGATTGGACTATAATGATGGACACGTATGAAAAGCAATATAAAATCCCCTAGGATATTTGTGCGTGGGCCTCCAGATCGGATTTATTTTTGTTTACGCGAATTTTAAAGCGCGTAGTGATGATAGAGCTTACGGTCCCTTGGGAAACCAACATCCCCAAAGACCATACCATCAAGGTCAACAAAAATTACGAGCTCACAAACGAACTCACTCGAAATAGGTTTGTAGTAGATTTGTACGCGGTAGAGGTGGGAGCGAGAGGTATAACAGCGAAATCTCTCTACAACCTACTAAAGGACTTGGGCTTGTCCAGAACTCACATTAATGCATTCTTGGAACGTATATCGAAGGTAGCCCTAGTAGGTTCTTTTCAAATTTGGTTAGGTAGGGAAAGGAGCTTGGACAGTGGAGGTGAGCGTGTAACGCGCGTTAGTTAAGGGGCCCCTTAAACCTACACTTGGGTCGCAAGTCCCAGGCACTGTTGAAGCTCCTCTCCCTGCAACGCGATGGACCCGGCACCCGTACGGTGAATCCATGGAATGCGTAGTAGTTTCGTCTCTGTCTTTAAAAAATAATTAAATACAATATCTTTACATGCTAAATATATTTAACTTCATATTAAAACATTTCGGATATTTATCCAACAAGTTAGAACTAGCAGCAGACGTGCAAGTATTCGCTAAATTATATTGTCCCAATTCATGTCCTTATTACACCACATTGTGTACATACCTCACCGGCTGATGGAATTGGCAACAAGAGCTATTGGTCTCTTGGTATTTTATATTTACGACCAGCCTGGGCTGGTAAATCATTTGAGTAAATCACAGTTTTTCAATGAAATTTAAAAATCCTCCTCTAATATAAAACTATTTTTACAAATTTGTTTCTCCACTATTAATAATTATTTGATATGTAAGATTGTCATTAATATATGAAGAGAAGTAAGAATCAAGAGACACTTTAATTAATAAAATTTTTTGAAGCGGGGGGGGGGGGATTCAGTTTTTCAAATTCCTATGTCACAGTTTCGTACAAAATTATATAAGAATAATCCTTTTCAAATTATGCCATCTATATCTATGTTATATTATTATGATTTTTCATGGAAATATAATTAGCTAATATGACGGGTATTATATGATATTATACATATGAGTTTAAATCTCATTGATGTGTATTCAATAAGTTTTTGTTTATTGAAAATCCATCGTCGATCGCATTTATAAACTTTTAGACGACATCCATAACCATTGTGGGTTTTGAGTGGTTCTTTATTTAAATGACGTCATAAAGAAATATCGTGGCTGTAATATCGGACCATCTGTCGACGAAAAGAAGGGAACTTTTGGCTACGGTTTATGGCTCCACCGTGCTTGCCGATATTTAATATGAAAATGTTTTTTGGTGTCAACTGCCATTCATTTTTATTTTAACGGTCTGAGTTTTACTATTTTTTTTGTTTTCGATAACTTATCGTTATATTAATCTAAAAAAAAATTTAATGTGGTTACTTACCGTAATGCTTAGTCAAATTGTTCTATACTTTTTTTGTACTTCAAACGTACTAGACATAGTATAATAAGTGTGAGAATAACAATAAATCACTGAAGCTCGCTCAATAATACGCAGAATTGAGAATGGACAGTATATAGACTTGGAACAGTTTATATTAAATGTTAGCCTCATTCGCTCCGTGATTCAACCCGTACGTCGAAGAATTATTGATGAAGTGCACGATCTATCCGACCGCATTCGGAGAGAGCTCACAGTATCGCGATTGAAACGTCTATTTTCATCTCCATAACATAAGCATATATAAACCTGTTGTACAGTTTACATACTTATGCATAAAGCTCTAATATATCATTAACAGCTGATACCCTAGACAGTGACCGCGTACTCTAAAATAAGTATTAAAAAAAACTTAATGTGTAATGAAACATATAACAGACTATATCAAATAATTTGAACTAAGAAATTCATTGCAATCTGTCCACTAGTTATGTCTTAACGCTCATAAAACTGATGATCTCTATATTTTTTGAACCTATTTTATTTAACTAATATAGAAAACTTATACTTAGTTCACGTTAATATTCCATTAAAAGTAATAACAACTTTATATCCCACTGAGGTAATAATGAACAGTAAATGAAACAGTTGGGCGTTTTAATCGTTTGTCCGACTGGTCCATAATATCGAAAGTTTCTGAGCCAATATCGTTGTGTGTGGTAGCTAATAAAAGATAAAGGCAGCTGTAACTCGTTTCCAAGTTCAACCTCGCTAGTTAAGCCTTGTTATTAATTTTATCTCGCCTTTTCTCTGCTTCTTTATTTATGATCGTGATATTAAATTACATGTCGCTTAATGATATAAGTTTAGCGAAAGAAGTAGTGTAATCCGATTTAGTTTTCTAGATTTTGATGATATTTTTGGTCAGTAATATTATTATTATTTCAGTTACATGATAATTATAAATTTACATTTCATTTTACCCTATGTAATTTTTTGGATATAGACTCCTACATTTGTTTATTATTTTCAAGTCTACAATATTACGATGAACAATAATTTAATTTATAAATTGGTCATAAATAACATATATTCATAAATTTAATGACTTTGGTTTAATATTTAAATTTTTTCGCTGAATAAGATAATTTATTCATCATGATCTGAGCCGTCTGCACCTGTATTAATGGAAATATTTATAGTTTTTTGGACAACTAATGATCACAGGTGAAGTCAACCATAAAAAACCGTTTGGACAGCCAGTGCATGTCGATTAAACATTTGTTTTCACTTCAGGGTTTAAATAAATGCTATTGCATAAATTGCACAGTAACTGAATATACAGGAATGCTCTTGTTTATGATTTAAAAAAAAATACCAGTAAAGTTTATTTTCGGGTTCAATGAAAAATTTATATGTGTCAAATTATGTTTTAGGATACAATGGATAGAATTTTGTATCCGATTTCTGGTCGAAAATTATGTAATTTTAAATGCCATCGGTAAAACAAATAGTCTAAAGATATGCGTACGTATATAAAACTTTTTTCATATTTTTTATAAAGGTCTTACGTTTACGTTTCAAAATAACTAAACTATAATATTGACTTAGAATTCAAGTAGGAATAAATATGAAAGTATATTTTATAAATAAAATGTACCCTAGAAAATAATAAGGTAAGCAAATCAATGTTACATGTACGGTAATCTAAACGTAAGGACATCATGTCTGCAGTTTTATCAAGGTTAGTACAATCGAGGCTCTTAAGTTGTTATGGAATAGCTCCCGACCTTTCTGGATTAGGAAGCAGAATAGATTTGATAGAACCAACTATTGTGTTTCCTAGTCGATTGTGTTATTTCGGGTCAGACAGAGGTTACAAACGTCGTACACCAATATTACTTAAAGCTTATTCTGTTTGGAGTCAAATCGCAAAACAGTAACATGACATACATCGTGTTTTTTTATTCGGTCTATAGTACATTAGTGATTATTTCTAACTCAATAATTGTTATCAATGGGACTAATACATCTGAATTTGAGTATAACGAAACAATTTCAAGTCTACAGATTTATGAGTGTTCATACTTGTGACCAACTTCAACATTTTGAAAATAGTTTGCATGTTAATGTTGAGGTCCATTACAAACTTTTGCTTAAAATGTTCGCTGTAAAGATATTTAGATGTTTTAGATTTTATAGAGTATACCATTAAATGAAACTATAATTGTTGGTTATGCTACTTGATTGTTATAATATTTTCAATTTTAATCGACGTTTCTAAAGTCGCTTTCATCTCACCTGCCTATGATTACGATTCTAGTAAGATAGTCTAAGTGTTGGTAATGTATACAGTATTATAAATTATAATCACGTAATAAATCCGAATATCGTAGTTTCATTCAAATATATTCTATTGTATGAAGTGTTCTCTCCTATCTTATTATACTGACGTAAGAGCAACTGTATTTCAACTGCTGTAATAAATTAGTTTTGAACTATTTTACTTCAGATGTATTTATTCATGCATTTATAGCGGCATACTCGTAGAATGGAGTGGAAAATGAAAAGGAGGTAGCTTCAACATTCCATGAGATGTTTTTTGTAAAATATAATATTTAGATCATGAATTATGATAAAAAAATTATTATTGAATATTTCTTCTCAAAAATATATTTATAATGAAATATTTGTAATATTTTGAAAGCATATTTACTGCTTATAGATAATCAAGTCGTACCACTGTATATTACGCAATATTGAGTCACTCTAGAGCTAGGAAATAACGCGCATATGCTTAAAGCTTTATGTGATTAATGTTCCATTACTGATAAACCAAGTTGATCTCTGATGTTAAAGATACCGTAAACCTGCATTAAACAAAACCTTATTCCACACATTTTAACAAATAAATTTCCAAACATGGTCTCGTGATTATGTATATACGAATAATGTTTTTATTTGTAATTGAAAATTTTATTAATTGTTTTGATAAAGATATTTTGTTGGTTGAAATTTAACGCTAACCACAATTTCAAATGACTACAGTTTATTCATTGGAAACATTGTATTTAAGGTGTATTCATAATGAAAAACAGCATTTATAACTATTTAAAAGCAAGATAGAATTAGATTTAGAATTGATATCTATTATACTGGCAACAAGGTTCTTAAATGGAAACTTGTAATCATTATGTAGTACCAATGAACAGGCTCGTCCTTCAGAATTACTTGCCTCAATCATTAATTACACTAGCCTTTTATCACTCTTGTTAAACACCCTTTTCGGTTCCGATGAGGTCGGACCGAGGGATTTATTTCGAATCTGTTTAGGATCATTGTCTTTATTGTTAGTGATTTCCGCGTTTTAGGGATTTCTTGTTAATAAATACCATTTAGATTAGGACGATACTGTAAAACATTCTAAATGTTACTGTTCAATAAACTAGCAAATTGTTTTCTTAAGAATTTATTTAATTGTGTTACGCAACAAAATGATAAATATATGGAAATTAACTTTTATTTTACGTTTGGTTAT